AAATCTAAAACAAAAATTTAAAATTTTTTATCTCATCGTCTTTTTTTTAGCAGTTTAAATTTTTAAAATCATTTTTTTAGACAAAGTCTCAATTATTAAACGTTAAAAAACGTGAAACTTTTATTAATGTATAAAAATATATACAAATCAAATTATATTACAAGTGGGTGAAATTTTTTGTCTGTAGTGTATTTATTACACGTTCACATCAGTCAACTCGGTAGAATCAGATCACTTATTGCTACGTATTTTTGAATTATTTAAGTTTTATTCATGACATGTATTGTCGGCCTTAACACCTAAAATATCTCAATGTTTCAGGTTACCGAGTCGACTGCCAAAGCACCACTAATTTCAACTTACGAGCAAAGAAGCACGGCGGGCTTTGAGCAACCAAACAGACAAAATAAACAATTTTTTACGTCGCAATTCAATCTAATGGGTTATTTATAGTCGGAAAAAACACCCACTAAACATTAACTACTATTTGTAATTTCGAGGGTATTTTCGAATCGAAACGGTTTCATAGGCCTTTAGTTTCGCTTTATTAACATTGATATGAAAATTGTTTTTTGATTTGACCTCATGGAATTTTTTACGATTTTTGGAGAAAACGAGGTTGTTTCTTAAAAATAATTTCATTTTTCATTTTTCACACCATGACATACTTCATCATGACCATCAGCTTAACATTGAACACGACTTGAATGTCCCCTTGCAACTCTCTTATCCTCCTAAAGGATTTACTCCATCAGACATACGACACACTATTAAACAACTACCTTCACGAAAAGCTCCAGATTATGATCTAATTGCAAAACAAATATTACAAAATTTGCCCCACAAAGGCTTACTATTCTTAACATACTTATACAACGCTGTACTCAGGACCACATATTTTCCATTGCAATGGAAGTTCTCTATAATTAAAATGATTCATAAGCCCAATAAACCTTCTGATCTTCCAAATTCCTATCGACCCATTAGTCTCCTTTCTATCCTTGCCAAAGTACTAGAAAAACTACTTCTCCGACGATTACTGCCAATAATTGAAAATTATTATTCCAGATCATCAGTTTGGGTTCCGCACATTTCACTCGACAACTCAACAATTACATCGTGTTGCTGACAATATAGCCTCATCCCTCGAACAAAAACAGCATTGCTTGGGTGTCTTTCTTGATTTAGAACAGGCCTTCGATCGAGTCTGGCACTCGGGCTTGTTTTGGAAACTGAGGAACATCCTCCCTCATACGTATTATCTTATACTGAGATCTTATCTGACAGATCGATTTTGTCGAGTCCGTCAGGGAACTGAATTCTCACCTTATATACGCATAAGGGCGGGTGTTCCTCAGGGAAGCATACTTGGCCCTTTTCTATTTTCCATATACACTGCAGATATTCCTACACACGTTAACATTTCGACACCCACATTCGCTGATGATACAGCGATTCTTACTCGCAATTCGGACCCCTCAATTAACACTCAACACTTACAACAACACCTGAATGAATTAACAATATGGTTCACAAAGTGGAGAATAAAGGTAAACCTAACAAAAAGCACAAAGATCAATTTTACCTTACGTAAAAATGTCTGTCCTGCGGTGAGTATAAATGGAATTCCATTGCCTACCACTGACCTTGTGCGTTATCTTGGACTTTTCATGGATAAACGACTGACTTGGAATCCCCATACAAGACTGAAAAGACAGCAAACAAACCGACGTTATAAATTGTTAAAAAGACTACTCGACTCACGATCAAAATTAGACCTTGAAAATAAACTTTTAATTTACAAGACAATGATTAGACCTCTCTGGGCCTACGGTTGTGAAGTGTGGGGCTCAAGCAAGGATTCCAATTCCCAGCGTCTCCAATCAATCCAATCTAAAATTCTCCGTCAAATTATAAATGCTCCTTTTTACGTTTCAAATTACACTATCCACAAAGACCTACACATCCCGTTTGTACATGAACTCATCAAAACCCGATATAAAAAATTTCATCAATCACTGAACACACACAGTAATCTATTCGTACGGCATTTATCACTTCCAACCCTACCTGAGAATCCTCCAAGACGATTGAAGCGAAAGTGGCCCCCAGACCTTCTCATTGTGTGAAGACTGAACAAGATATCAGTGTGGAGGAGTGTTACCACTGGGCAACATCTCCTACAAGAGCCTCAAATGATAATTCAACATATACGAACTTATTTACTTAATACATCACTTGTAGTTGTAAATAACAAATAAATGTAATAAAAAATCATTTTATGGCATAATCTAGGTCAGCACAAAGGAATTTCATTGTTGACCTTTACGGCCTTTTGGTTTTACGGCTCCGACGCGGTTTTTTGGTTGTATTAATCATAAATAATCGTTAAATACATAATAATTTTGTGATTAATTCAGAAAATAATTGCTAATAAGTGGTAAATATGGTAATAAATACTGAATTTATAACTAGTTAAACAAATTTTACCATACAGTCAAATTTGATTTATTTTAACAATATGTTTTAAAAACATATTTTGGTATATAGATTTATATGTGAAATAATCCTTTTACAATTGCATTTAATTATTGTAATTATCGTAAATCAAGTTAGTAAATAAGTAATAAATTTAAAGTAAACACAATGTAAATTTCCGTTTTTATTAATTTTTAATCTACCCTTCTACAATATTTTTTTAAAAATTGATTAGGAGTTAGTAAGTAGAAATATAAAATTAGTATTTTTTTCTTAATATAATAATGGGGGTAAATAAATAGTAAATGGGTAAACAATAGATATTGCTTGAGTGAGTGTATTTATTAGAGTGAATGGGGAGGGGCTGGTGGTGCAATAGCAAACCCATCGCCCCTCAAGCTTTGGCGAAATATTTATAAAAAATACCATCGACCGCAATAAGATTAGTTTGTTATTGTATGCAAGTCGATGGAAGAATATTGAGTACTCCATGCACTGAATAGAATGAATGCAATTACAAAAAAAAAGAAATTGCAGATTCGTCTAACCTGACTTTCTCCATATAGAGTTCGTTGAAACTCGTTCCAAAACGACGTGTCAAAAAATAAAAAGGCACTTTATTATCAAGATAAAAATAACCTAAAAAAAATAAATAAAGTTGGTGTAAACCGTATGTGTTTAGCAGCCATAATTTCATATTAATTATTTCAATTAATTATACTTTTTATCAGGTTGAAATGAGAAAGTATAATTAATTGAAATTTTAATAATGTATTTATGATTTGGTAATTTATGCACTAAATAGATTTCAAAACTGTAAAAACTAGGGGCGTCGGTAACCGCAACGGTCTAGGCGTTGACACGGCGCTCATCACTGTATGTTAAAGGTCCCGGCTTCGAATCCAAACATACTTACACATGGGCTTTTTTCAAAAACACCGGCACCCCGAAGGTTGATATAACCTCTGCGTTGCGAACCATTGTAGGGGGGAAAAAAACCTGTCTAAACAAAATGCCTTATTTCGGGAGTGTCCATACAAATCAGTGCTGTAATGAACGTAATAGTGGGTTGTACAGTTCCAGAAATGTTCAAATGTTTACTTTAATCACGTCAAAATTCAGTCCAAGTGTGTCAATATTAAAGCCGAACAAAAAAAATACAATAACTTCAAAAATTAGTAAAAGTCATTTATGGAATTGTAATTGTGTTCTTTGATAATGAAGAGACAAGAGGGAAGAACCTCAGACTAACAAAGCCGTGTTGAAATATTCTAACAATTTACTTTCGCCGTCTGAGCGCGATTAGGAGGAAGAGATTTGTCATAACTTAGTTACCCTGGGCCAAAACGGAATATTTCCACCGGGTGGAATATTCATTCCCCTCGTCCATATTCCGACGTTATTTCTCTCCAGGCCTATTAGTTCTCACTGCTGGATTACACGGAGCGCTCACTTATTCTCTAATGGGTTATCGCAAAAATTAGGCAGGCTTTCAGGCGAAAGATGTTAATGGTTATCATGATTTCGGTCAGTTGCGTACAACCTGAAACGTTCCGACTCACAGAATCGGGCGTTGATCCAACGAGGATTGATCCTCCTCTCAAAAGAATATCATAACTTCATTCAAAACTTAGACAATTGAGGACAGTTTTAACTTACTCATTATTAGGCTCAACCGATAGCTTTCCATTACCTATAATAATCAATATTATCAAACTAATAATATAATTTTTCTTTGTCATCAGTTTATTATGTAAATGTCTTTTAAAATTGATCCTTATAGTTTTTTTACGAGGGTTTGCAACAGCAGAGGTCATATAAACCCTCAGGGTACCGGTGTTTCTGAACAAAAATCCATTTGTAAGTATGTCGCTTTGGAATGCAGGGCCGCTGGATTCGAACCCGGGACCTTTACCTCACAGTGATGAGCGCCGTGTCAAAGACTAAACCGTTGCGGCCACCGATGCCCCGATCCTTGTACTTAAAATATGTAATAACAAGGGAAGGAAAATTCAAAAAGTTGCGGTTGAGATGGGAAGTTAGTGCCCGAGGAGATCGAAGTCGCGATAGCTCAAGTGGTAGAGTAGCGGCGTATTAAGCCGAAGTTCGTGGGTTCGAATCCCGCTTGTGACACTGACTTTTTTATCTCAACTCAAAACCTTAATTAATTAAATGTAATAACAATGTAAGTGTAGAATTGCTTCATTAATTTTAAAGATCTGGGAAATGAGGAATCTTAAGTCAGAGTGAGATTTGTAAAAATAATATCAAATACCCTATTTTACCTGGTGAAAGTCGGTAGCCACATTTAGACACTCAAATGGCTGCAGATTAAAACAGAAAATAAATTATTTAAAAAAAGAAGCGTGAATGTAAAGAAAAAACAGCAACAACTTATCACACTAAAGTCAGTCACCCGACCGAAATTCTGATTTTAAGTAATATGATGGTATTTTTTTCTTCCATAGTTTACAATCAAAATTAAGGTTTTATATTCTGTATTGGGAAAAAAATAGGACAGAGACAATTGAAAAAGGTTGTTATTAACTGACACTACATGTCCAGTTTAAATGAAAAGTTTGGATCGTAAGTTTGATAAAGCATCTCATTTTCCGGATTAGTGGTTTTCTCTTTTACCATCGACGTCGAGCCGTCCCACGGGAATCTTTGGGAGTTACGGCTCTCTGGCAACGGCCAGTCCTCCGAGCTCAATTGTGCGATTTTCGATTGCGATTTACGTGCGACCAGATTGTGAAAATTGGGTGGATTCATTTCTTTTTCCATGTTGCACATCGAGTTACTTTTCCGCGACAAAATCGATAAAGGAGACGTAACCTTCTCCTCAGGGTACTCGCCCTTCGCCGGGGTCCTGCGCTTCGAAATTTCATCTTGCTTACCAGCCGCTATCAGTTTGTTAACTTCGTCGTTAATGTCGTCAGAATGCCGTTTCAAAGATTCGACTGATTCTTGACAAGAGTCCTTTGTAATTTCGTACGTCTGTTTCATCGCGTTGATAGGCATATGCTTATTTGCTAGTTTTTTGTATAAAGACGATTTGTGTGATATTTGCCCGCTCGCAGCTGGCGACGCAGCCTCATAAGAAGCTATTTTCACCGCCTGCTTTGTTACCGTGTCGTTACTTTTTTCCTTATGGCTGCCGATCGATCGATTTCTAAAGACACTCTGTATCGACAAAGGTAGATCTCTAGATGCATATTCAACTTCTTTCGATGCTCCAGCCACGCTCATGCAACTCCATTGAGTGGAATTCATGTTTGGAGTAACTCCGTAGTCTTTCTCTGCTGATAGTTGCCATGAAGAATCATTAGGATCATTGTTAGAGGGTGTGTCCCAACTCGAACCGATCTCTTGCTAAAACATAGAAACAGCCATAAAAAAAGGGGTAACATTTTCTTGTTCCATTGTACACTATCTTTAATAGTGCAGTATTGCCTTGTTTAGACAATGGTATATACGAGAAAATAAAACTATCTCTGATAAGAAAAATTATGAGGACAAAATTCTTAAGTGATGTGATTAATAATTTTCATAAACTAACACTAGTATTTTATGTGGAGTTTCAATCTTCGTAGAGGTCATTAGACAGGGAAGAAAGAAGAAGACTAATTGTTGGTTTCACCAAGCTTTCGACAACTTATAGTGCCATCATCAGGGCCTATTTATTAAAAATTAAAATAAATCATATACAATTAACAATTAACAAAATAAAACAATATACATACTTTCCCAAGAGTGGCCAGGATACTGCATTTTACATGGTGAAAATAGACATATATATAAAATTGTCTATTTTCACCATGTAAAATGTAGTTTGCTGGCCATATGCTTCATAACCTTAAAACCAAAACGCTTTTACAATAGTTTTTCAATATTATTCGTTTTCTGCACTCTTGGAAAAGTATGTATATTGTTTTATTTTGTTAATTGTTAATTGTATATGATTTATTTTAATTTTTAATAAATAAGACTTGATGATGGTACTATAAGTTGCCGAAAGCTTGGTGAACCCAACAATTAGTCTTCTTCTTTCTTCACCTGTCTAATGACCTCTACGAAGATTGAAACTCTACATAGATTATCTGCAGGTCGATCAACAAACATATCTTCAGAGTAGTATTTTATAAATTAATACCATTTTTGATTCGGTAAAATTTCCGTTTTGGGTTGACATCTGCATCGCTCCCATTTTTGCAGAATGGTCAAGTAGATGTTGGGAGTACCTCCTTCTCAAAAGAAGGGAATCCTGAAAATTATAAAAGTAGCATAGTTAAAATAACCTTGCTATAAATAAAAAAATGTACTGTAAGCGCATTTAATGATATCTTTTGTGTGAGATGTAATGTGTTTAATGAAGAAAAATTAAGGCAACATGAACTTTTATGTCTCACATCAATAGACAACAGGGCTGTTTACATAAACCATTCATGGTGTTAGGTGTGTGACAGTCGAGTTTCGTGACGCAACTGTGCTATTTTGCAATGTTTATTTAGATGAGACGTTTGTTTACTTATCACGTGCTAATTATCCACAAAATCCTCAGTAGATAAAGGGACAAGTTTGGATGAGGCGGGAAAACCAAAATTTTTAATTCATTTATCTTGTTCAAATACTTGAAAGCTCGTACACTTTGAATAACACACAATTTTTACGTCGTTCGAGTCTCCCACCGCCCACCTTCGTGCCAGTGTGCGTTTTTATAATTTATTAGTGTTAGGCAGTAGAAGAAGAAAGGAAGACAGCTTTGTACAGCTGTCTGTATGTACATTCAGAATATAAAATCTCAGAAATCGAACGATTTAAATCCGAACTATTTAAATAGCACAATAACACATTTACAAGTCACAGGAAATGCATGAATCCCTAAAAAACTATTACAGAATTCTTACTTTTTAATTACTTGATAATGTCAGTTACTCTGTATTGTTCTGCAATCTGTGCTGCCACATACTTCAAAAAATGGTAAAATGGACATACTAAAATCAATGAGCAGCAATTATCGTCCACTTTTGACTTAAAGTTTGCTGGACTTAGCTTGATAGACGGTGAATCCATTTCTTTTAATTGATCACAAGTTTACAAACTACAACTTTTCCTATTTAATCCTTATTTCCTAATCCTGCTGCTTCCTAGTGCTACAATAAGGTACAGACTTTTGAAGGAAAGGGATTCCCACAAGGGAACACCCTTGGTCTCATCTTGTAAACCATTTATACTACTAACCTTCCAATCCATTTCAACGACCAATACGACGATACCACAATATTATGTACAAAACAGAATTCCAAATAGTCACAACCAAATATTCAGGACACACAAAGGAAATCAACTACCTTCTGGACCGAATCTTCCCCGACCTTTTCAATCAACATCCATATCCTCCGCTGCCGCTACAGCTGTTTTCATATGCTCAAGCCATATGCGGCACCTCCTTCTACACATCACTATTTTCCTCATTGTAATTTGTCTTTATTGCTTTTTCATTCTAGTGGCTTTTGAGGACAATTTTATCACTGTGGTATTATATTTTAAGTAATTATTTATGTCTAATAACTATTATTGTTTGCTTATGTTTATGTTATAGGTTCAGAAGCTATTAGTTATGAAATTTCTTTGAATTTAATGTAGTTTATTTCCAATTTTTCTTTCATTTCATTTTGTACATACTTTTTCCAACTCCACATTGATTGTAACAATTCAACTTTTTTTTTTACTTTTTATGTTGTACAAAAAATAAATAAATAAATAAAATAGAGTTGTTTCTGGATGTTGGTCTACATCGGCGAACTCTTGCTGAACCTGGTTTGATAGTTCAACAGTGTGAAGACGGACCCAATAAATGACTCAATGCCGGTTCAGCAAATAAAAAATATACTACTGTCTTTGCTTTTTAACTTAAGAAATACCAATTCACATTAAATAACGCAACTTGTCATAATTTTCAACAATTTCACAATAGATTAACAATATCGTTGCAAGTAACATGGGTAAATAAATTCCACGCTATATTGTCAGATGGAAAAAGAACGTGTGATTTAAAAACTGATCAAAAAATTAAATTGCTAAGAATGAAATTAGAGTGTTCAGCATTTAAAAATATTGCCAGGAAATTGCATCCATAAGGTTTTTCTATTTGGTGACGTATTTTTTTTAACAAACTCATGCAGTAGCGTTGTTACCGAGTGTTAAAATAATGAAACTCATCAGCGTGAAAGCGAAAATTTACAATTGTTAAACTTTAACGTGTGTTTACTTACTGCAGAGGTAATCAATTGTGAAAGGCGGTTTGACATGTTCGCAATTTAGAATTTAGTCCGAAATCGATGTTTTATGTTTGTACGGTTTCACTCGTGCTTAAGCGTAAATGTTTTTTTTCCATATGATTGAATCAATTACTTATAACATTAGGTTATGAAAAAAATGCCATTTGAAGAGTTTGAAAATATATAAAATAAAGGGTATTGGTGCGACTGAAATGTGTTATTCAGTATTCAAATTCATGGGTTGATGTATGCTGGACGAAAGTTAGGTGACTTAAAACACGACGGATCCGACAATGACAAACAAAACTTCTTTAAATATTTTAGAATTTGAATGAATAGAAAACAACCTTTCCGACGGTTTTCCCTATGTTTGTTTCAGGCTATCGATTTATATTTATTTAGTAACCTTATGTCGTTTAGCCCAGATGTAATATAGAGACTCTCCTAGAGAAAAAGTATCTTTTCAAACATCAGAACACGAATCTCTGTCAATACCGGAACCGTTCTTCTTCTCCATAATCCATTTTAACTTTACTTTCAGTTTTATTCCACAACGACTGATAAATTGGCGATTTATTTATAAAAAAACATGAAAAGATATTAATATGAGGATGTTTGATTACCTCATAGTAATTTTTTCGATTTATGACCTACTCGTAGAACAAATATAACAGAATAAAGGAGAATTCCCGTTGAGAAGAATATAACTAACAATAAATTTTTGAGAGAATTCTAGTTGACGTCTGGTCTCACAGAAGAAATTTCTTTTTCAGTGTATTTTCTCTGTTTTGGCTTTTAAAGTTTTAATTGCGTTGTAAAGCTTTGAACTCTAATTATAATATGTTTTTAATGAAGTAATTAAGTTTTCAAAGGAACGGTGGCTGTTGAAGACGGGATCTCCTGAAAGTTTGCGGTAAACGTGGGGTTGTCGCAAGGTTATCCGGCGTCCCCTATACTATTTAATTGAATACTTGAGCTGAAAATCTAGAAGGACGTGTAAATGGCCGACAGATTACGAGGCATTCGCATGATAGAGCTTTGACGGAGTCGTCGCAAACAGCTTTAAAAGATTCATTCAATAATTGACAGTGGGGGCTGAAGAATATGGTCTGAAGGTGAATGAAGAAACGAAGAAATATAAGCTAACGGCCCGTCGAGCTTGGGCGATCATAGATCTCATCGCGAAGAAGCAAACGTTCTCAATGCGTTGAAAGCTGCAAGTATTTTTTAGCGAAGAATGCGATCAACCGGGACATAGTTTCTTGCAAAAAGTTGATGCTTAGCAGCACTATTAAAAACATCGCTTAACAAAATTTTATTAAGGAAAACGAAAACTCGTTTGAAAAATATTTTAAGACCAGTGGTGTTATACATTTTTGGGATTCGGTCTACGAGTGGGAAACTAAGCCTGTAGGAAAAAAGTGTTACTTAGTAGAAAATGTACCTAGACAGATGAACATTGATGTGATGGATCTTTAAAGGTAATAAAACAGTGGTAATAATAAAAAAGGAAGACTGCTCTGACCTGATGAGAATGGATATAAAACACCACGAGGTTGGCCATCCTGAGGGTAGAAAGCGTATAGGACGGTCCAGATTGTTGTTGATGAAGTGGAAGAGAACATTACGCAATGAAGAAGAAAATTGACTGTCTTAGACTACCATTTCGTAGGAAGCCAAGTCCCTGTATAAGCTCTAGCAACAAGGAGTAAGTAATTATATAATTGTCGAATATATTCAGTAAAAAATGAATAATTTTTTTGTGAGCTTTCTAATTTGGGTTACGGTGTGATAAAGGGTCGTTCCAATCATCCTGGTCTGATAATCGTCTCTGTTTTATCCTTTCGTGTTTCATTTTTTAAGTATAAAAAACCCGAAATGTTGCCATCGCCCGATACTCAGTGGATAATTCTTCACTGGATCTATCTTAGAATTATTTTTATTTTGGCTTTATTGCACAAACTAATGAAAAATTTGCGTTTGAATTGTGAAAATTTTGGAAATAAAATAATATAATAAGCTCTACTTGTAAAATGATAATCTTCATTGGCAATGGTAAAAAAAATCCGTGATAATTCTTGTTGAGGTTTGCAGGGGTCGTAAAGCCTTGAATGTTAAACAAACTTAAAAAAATAGTGTAATAAAAATTATATTACTTTATTAAAGAAATATTAATATTTATTTTTACATAGTAATTTAAATCTGGCTCATTGCCGTCTGTCAAGACTATAAACATTTGCACAAATAATGTAAAATATAAACATTAGTGGCGTTTTACATCGGCAATAAAATGATATAATAAGCTTTCTTTATAAGATAATATTTTTTTTGATAATGGCATAATTTACTGTTTGCAAGAAATTTGCTAAAAAAATGCGTTTTAAATCTTGTTGAGGATTGCTGGGTGATGAAGGACATTCGTTGTTTTTATCATCCTGGTATAGGCAAACGCTGTTTTGGCCACTGGTGTTAAGATCGTAAAGCCTTGAAAGTTAAACAAATTTAAAAAACAGTGTAATAAAAATTATATTACTTTATTAAAGAAATATTAATATCTATTTTTACATAGTAATTTAAATCTGGCTCATTGCCGTCTGTCAAGACTATAAACATTTGCACAAATAATGTAAAATATAAACATTAGTGGTGTTTTACATCGGCAATAAAATGATATAATAAGCTTTCATTATAAGATGATAATCTTCTTTGATAATGGCATAATTTACTGCTTGTAAGAAATTATGCTAAAAAAAATTCGTCATAATTATTGTTGAGGTCGTAGGGGGATGAAGTACATAGGTTGAGTTTATCATCCTGGTATGGTATGGTATGTTATGGTGGAAAGGATACCAGGAAGCGGGGTTTGTGTTCCCCAGGCACTGCAGCCTTCTGGCTTATTGTACCTTCCTAGTTCCTTAGTTCAGTCAATAGACTCGATCCTTCTTCTTCGAAGTATCAGGTCATTGACTGTCGCTGCTGCAATTTGATTCCCTAAATCTTTTCCGTAGGTTAGGTTAAACCTCAATGTTGCTTCGCATTCAAAGATGATATGAGTGGCTGTATCCTCCTCCTCATTATATAATCTGCAGGATCATCGCTGTATATACCCATGTTGTGTAGATGTTTTCTCAGATGCCAGTGACCGGTTAGTCCTACCATTCCTCTGAGTTTGGCCCTTTCCAATTGCAGCAGTGTTTTTGCCAATCTTGGTGAGCGTTGTTTCATCATATGTTTACTATGTCTAGAACCGCTAGAGTTTATCCACTTCTCCTTTTGTTTTGTTTGGATCCATTCTGCGATGGAGGATTCAATATTTATTTTTGTTATCCCATGTATAGGTTCGGGACCTATGTATGGACTTGCAGATCCTCCTCTGGTCAGTTTGTCTGCTTCCTCGTTATCCAAAATTCCCCTGTGCCCTGGCACCCAAGATATCCTTGATTAGAACGTTGATTATAGTTTAAAAACAGTAGTTCGTCTTTGATTTTAAAGAACAAAAAAAGCTGGGAGTGAGATCATCCCGTTTCCCTTCTAGCGACATTAAAGATCCTACATATTTTTCTATAACAGAAAATAAAACGAAGGATAAGTCCATTTAAGTAAACATCTGGCGGTTGGATTTGACATTCGATATAATTCTATATTAGGGATCTGCCCAAGAATTGGGATTATCCAAGGAGAATTTCACTTCTGTCGAATGAGATCTAATAGGTATTCCAGAGATTGTACCAATTATAGTGCCGATTGATGATCCCACGAGCTGTGATTCTGGGAAAACTATTCGAAGGATAATTCGCTATTTTATTAGGTACTTAGTTGACGTTGTTCCTAAAGGTAAATAGAAAAACTAGGTCAGTCGAGATTTCAAGGTATACTGTAATAAGTTAGGAGTTGCAATGGAGAACAGTTTTTAAAACAATCAAATCTCATTGCTTTTGTGCTTTTGGCTGAACATCTTATGCAAGATCGATATAAGGCTCGAGCCATATTGCAAACAAATTAAACATTATGTGTTGAAAATAACTATCCACATAGAATTATGTACTCTTTGTAATTTTAAAATACAGATAGATAAATACGTTTTTTCTTTGTTATTGTTTATTTATGTGCAACAAAACTGACTAAATACGCCGATAAATGGATAGTTGGCAGTGATGGTTCATGTCTCGTAAATCCTTACATACTCATAAATCTTGTGGGACTCCACGTTTGGCGGCCAATTCAGATGTTTTACCGGGGAATTTGTCATTAAACGATTTACCGATTCTCGTTAGAGCTGTTGATCAGCATTTGCTAAAATCAACTATTAATAATTTACTACCAAATTTATAAACATTTCTCTAGGTCTTTATCCGGATTCATTTACGTTGAGGTAAGATAAAAAGAATTTTATTAAAATATAAAAACAAAATATCTAGTGTGCTAGAGATATACGTCAATTACTGTCAGTACTGTCCAGGGTCGAGTAGCGCTGTACTTTAAGATTGAATTTGACGAATAAGATTTTGAGTAAGATTGTAAAGAGGTTACTAGTTCGGTAAAAACTCACATATCATTTATTAATATTAAGAAGGTGGTTCGCTAAAGACCAGATGGTAGAGAGCATTTAAGTCAGATTGAAGAAAAAATCAATCGTCTATAATGGTTTAAAAAATTAAATCTTCAGCAAAGTTAAGAGGAGGTGAGTAGTTTAGAATGGAAAGAAGATCGTTGATGAAATATTGTATATTAAATAAGAGTGAACCGAAATGAGAAACTTGTGGAACACCAGGGGAAACCTATTACTTGTGTGTAACCGATAATTGCATAATACAACAATCTGTTCATGGATAATTAAATAACTATAGATCCTGGGCAAAAATCGTCCAGTGGAGACAGATTTAAGTATAGCATAATAATTCGTTTTCCAAACAGACTTAGAACATTGTTTTCCCGTATACTCGATCGGCCTTAAAAGGACAATGAGGATCTTTAACGTCGGCACCTAGCCTTCAGGCCATATCGGACGTTTTGATTCTCAAGAAGAGAGCTGACGCACCTCCGCATACGACAGAAGGGGTTTACTGAGGCAGCGTTGGTGTAGAAGCAGCTCAGCCCCGAGGGGCCAAGTCAACCTCGCTCTCCGCTTGCCCATTCCGAGTGGTCGGGTCTGCATTAAGCATCGAACCGTATGCCGCTCGCATAGAGCTACCTAAGCCGAAATACATCAGCCTCCCTAGATAGAGAAGGCCACTCTACCTCCCAGAGTAGTGGGGCTTCCCTACCGTAGAAACTACCGGATCCGCCCCGGCCGCGGTTTTGTTTAAAATGGAATTCCT